GCCTCCCGGATTCAAGTGAGTCTCCTGCCTCCGCCTCCCAAGTAGCTGGGACTGCAGGTATGTGGCACCACGCCCGACTAATTTTTTGTATTTTTAGTAGAGATGGGATTTCACTGTGTTAGCCAGGATGGTCTCGATATCTTGACTTCTTGATCTGCCCACCTCTGCCTCCGAAAGTGCTGGGATTATAGGCATGAGCCACTGTGCCTGGCCTCATCAAGGGCATTGTTAAGTAAAACTGGCATTAATTTTTTTCTTCTTTTTTTACTATAAGTACCTGGCAGTGAAGAATGCAATGACTATTGTCTGGTCCGGTGTCACTGCCTTCATTTATGCTAAGGCAGCAGTTTTATCCAGATTGCTTTTGCAACATTATCGCAATGTCAACATACTGACAAAGGAAAATAGCGTGTATTTTTTCTTTTAATGAAAATAGCTTGACCTTGAAGATCCCCTGAAAGGGTCTCGGGGACTCCCAGGGGTCTGCAGGCCACATTTAACTCGAGAACCAGATCTAGATAATTTTTATTCATTCTTCAGATCTCAACGATTGCTTTAGCCATCCCCAAAGTCTATTTTCTCCTTCTTCTTACTAATGGAAACCTCAATTTTTAGCTGAGCTCTTAGCTACCTAGATTTAAAATATACTTCCCAGCCTCCCTCACAGGTGGATGTGTCCAAGCGACTCAATTTTGGTTAATGGATGTAAGTGAATGTGTTAGGTGCAGCCTCTGGGTTGCTCCTCACAGTGGGGGGAACGTACCATCCTCAGGCCTTCTTCCTTCAGACTGGAAAGAAAACACCTTCCCTATTGTTCACAGCCAGCCTGCTTTTCCCACTTACACTACCTGGCAGGCTCTCGTAGGCATTGATGTTTTGAACCCTGCTCCAGTCCAAGCCTCTCCATTCATTCATCTGTGTAGCCAACAAGTGCTAAGCGTGTACCGGCCCGAGGCACTCTGCTAGGTGCTGGGGATGTGATGTTGAATAAGACAGATATGGACACCACTCCAGCTTATGACGTAGACACCCAACAATGAACAACTTCATTACAATGCGACAAGTGCTACAAAGGAAAAAGCACAGGGTGCTGGGAGATCTTATCACAAGAGAACATTCTTTCAACCGGGAGAACTATCGGTAAGCACTGGGTTCTGCTACAAGTGAAAGAAACCCTAAAATAATAGAGGCTTCAACAAGATTGAAGTTATTTTTCACATGTAGGAAGTGTGGAGGTGGGTGGCGCGGCGGCGAGGGAGCAGCACGCCGTCCTCCAGGGCCTGGATCGGGGCTGTTTTTATTCTGTTGCTCTACCATCCTCCTGCACAGGACTTCCTCCCGAGAGCCTCAGAAGGCTGCTCAGGTTCCTCCGTTGAAATCAGCTTTCCTGGTGATAAGATCTCCCAGTCCTCTGTGCTTCTCCGTTTGTAGCTCTTTTCCAGTTGTGATGAAGTTATTCGTTGTTTAGTGTCCAGCCCGCAGGCCAGAGTGGTGACCCTGTCTGTCTTAGCACTATGCTCCCAGCACCCTCACAGATGCCCTGACCCTGGAAGACCCTTAATCCTTGTTTAATATTTTCCTAATATCTTAAATTTTATTGATATTAAATTTATTGTGGTAAAATACACACAACATAAAATTTTCCATTTTAAGCATTTTTTTTTTCCGAGACAGAGTCTTACACTGTCACCCAGGCTGTAGTATAATGGCACAATTTTGGCTCACTGCAACCTCCGCCTCCTGGGTTCAAGCAATTCTCCTGCCTCAGGCTCTCAAGTAGCTGGGACTTACAGGCGCCCACCACCACATCTGGCTAATTTTTGTATTTTTAGTAGAGACCGGGTTTCACCATGTTGGCCAGGCTGGTCTTGAACTCCTGACCTCAAGTGATCCCATCTACCCTCCTTGGCCTCCCAAAGTGCTGGGATTACAGGTACGAAGCACCACACCGGCCATTTTAAGCATTTTGAAATGTACCGCTCTGTGGGATTGAGTACACTCACATGGTTATGCGACCATGTGGAAATTTTTCATCTTCCTTAACTGAAATTCTGTGCTATTAAATGCTGACTCCGTTCTTGCCCCCTGCAACCCCCGGCTATTGAATAATTTTTTTTTCTTTTTCTTTTTCTTCTTTTTTTTTCTTGAAACAACAGTCTCGCTCTGTCACCTAGCCTGGAGTGCAATGGTGTGATCTCGGCTCACTGCAACCTCCGCCTTCCGTGTTCAAGCGATCCTCCTGCCGCAGCCTTCCGAGTAGCTGGTATTACAGGCATGTGCCACCACACCCAGCTAATTTTTGTATTTTTAGTAGAGACGAGGTTTCACCATGTTGGCCAGGCTGGTCTCAAACTCCTGATCTCAAGTGATTCACCCGCCTCAGCCTTCCAAAGTGCTGGGATGACAGGTCTGAGCCACTGCACCCGGCCAAATAATTTTTTAATGGATAAACAGAGACGTTTGGACAAGAGCAGGAGAGTGGGACCACAAATTTAAATGCTTACAGGAGCCCCGTTCTCCAGCTCTTGTCCAAGCTTCTCTGTTTATCCATTCAAAAATTATATAGGTAATGCAAGTGAGAAACACAGGCTGGGGGTGAGCAATAGGGATGGGTGGGGACTGAGGGAAAGGAGAGAGTACCCGCCTCGGTTAGTAGGGCAGCCACTCCCTGCATAGCTGTCTGAGTTGCCCATAGAGGCTATCCTGGCATGTGAGCCCAGAGTTGCCAGCTCTGCCAAAATTTCTAGAGAAGGTGGAAAACCCCAGCCTGACCAACATGGAGAAAACCCATCTCTACTAAAAAATACAAAAATTGGCCGGGCACGGTGGCTCAAACCTGTAATCCCAGCACTTTGGGAGGCCGAGGCAGGTGGATCACGAGGTCAAGAGATCGAGACCAA